TTCACTCATTCCTTATATGTACATTGTATACACACAAAATCAGGACTCAGTGTAGTTGGAATTCTCAGTGAAATTTCACATATGGACATGAGATAGATCAGTGTTTCTTAAACTGAGGATCCTGACCCAAAAGGGGGTCAAGGCGATTGTAGGGGGACCATAAAATCACAACAATATTGCTGGGAGAATGGGGAGCTGGAACGGGGGTACAGCAGCCACCGCTCTCTGGCTACTCATCTCTGAAGGCAGCGCCACCAACAGCAGCAGCACAGAAGGGTGGCAATACCATACCATGCCACCCTACTTCTGCACTGCTGCTAATGGCAGTGCTGCCTTCAGAGCTAGTGGCCGGTCAGCAGCTGCAACTCTCTGACCAGACAGCTCTGAAGGTAGTTTAGATGTAAGGGTGGCAATACCATGAGTACACTTCTATGAGTATGTACAGTGATTTGCTATCACTTTTTGGGGAGGTCATCACAGCCTGAAATATTTTCCAAGAGAGGCCCAACAAAAATAGTTTGAAAACCCCTGAGATAGATGATGCCTCAGACAGGCTACTTCTAAAACAAACAGTTCGTGTGAGTAGCTCTCTGTCTTTGTGTTTAATGCAACACCGTCAATTTTATTGTTAATTACATTTGTCTGAAAAGTTTTTACTTACTATTTATAAAAGTAACACCTACTATTACTAAAGCTGAAATTAGAAAAAAAAATCTGTTTTTCGTTTGGTAACTTTGTGCATTTGACTTTCCTTTGATTATAGTTGGTTGCAGTGTTTCGCTATGATCAGTTTTCCCCTGTTGCTTACTTTGTGCATTTGACAGCACTTTGTGCATAATCAGTTAGTTGGGTTGTTTTGTTTGTGTGGACCCTTCACAAATCGAGAGAGGAAACTGTGATTTTAAAAAACACATCAAACAAAAGTCAATAAAGGGATTCTAGGTCTAGGGTAGTAAGTTCAACTACTTTTAATTAAGTATTTTAATTTGATGATTTCAGGTTTACAGTGTTCCTTTATATTAAGGCTTTTAGGGCATAACAAACCATTTTCCTTACTTATGCCATGCTGGGTGAAGCATAATCCTGACGTACTCATCCCCAGCAATGAACCTTCAAGTTACTTACAAGGTCTACTGATCATACATACTTCCTTCTGCTGCTCCAACTGAGGCGGTCTCAGCCAACTCCTCCTGACGAGGGTTATCTGGATCCCCCTCCTTCAGGTCATTTTCAGATATGGTAGGCTCCTCTGTTTCTACTGTACAGGATCAAAATGACACACATGTACAAAACAAACGTGATTTACTCAAGTAGCTACTGTACCACAAAAGGGGACTCCAAAAATCTGACATGCAGTCACACTGACAGAGATGAGACAGACACATGGACTGCATAGATACAGAGCCCTATGCATGGATGGGTGGGGGGGTCACAAAAGCACACTGACATGGAGATACATAGATGCAGGGAACATATGATTATATGCCCATATGGCTGGGTGTGGACAGTGCACAGGCATAGGAACACTGACATGAGTCATGTGGACAAGGCACATGGACACAGGAAATGGACAGACGGACATGGGATGGGCAGACAGAGAGATGCCACAGGCAATGGTCCCAGGGGTGGAGTGACAGGGGGCACATGTGATGGATGGAGGATCACAGATGGAAATGGGGGATGGACAGACAAAAGAGGGGCACGGAAGACGAGGGGGATAATGAGGATGGATGATGGATGGACACATCCCAAGTGAGGTTGACAAGGAGACACGGGAGGGACAGACAGACAGTCAGGGGACACGGGGCATTGGTGCTGGAACTTTGGGTGTTGCCACCTCACCCCCTGGCTGGAAGTGGTTATTAAATACAGGGTTTACAGTTTGGGTCAATGACTCTCAGCATATCCCCCTATAAAAATTGTTCCAGCACCTCCGCACAAGGGATGGACATGGAGAGGGACACACAGGGGATGGAGGTACAGATAGCTAGGACACTGAGGAAGGACATGGGGAATGGACAGATGGGGAACACAGAGGATGGACGGAAAAACACAGGAGATGGCCAGCCACATGGACAAGTGAGATGGACGGGTGGACAGACTGGAGCACAAGGCATAAATGGGGGGACCCAGAGGATAGTCAGAGGGACAGACAGGAGACACGGGATGGAGGGGGCACATAGGGGAAGGGCAGACATTCCGTTGGTGGGCAAGGAAAGGACGGGGGACGGTTGGACTGAGAGGATGGACGGACGGGCGGGCGTGGGAGCACCGGGGACAGACGCCGAACAGACGGAGGGCTTGGGACAAGCTGGCTACGCGCAGACGACAGATGGGCAGGCGGGGCGCCGGGCAGGGGGTCACACGGACGGAGAGACGCGCGGGGCGGGCAGGCGCGTCGCACGGACGGACCGATCTCGATCTCGATCTCCTCCTGGCGCAGCTCGGTCCGCAGCAGCAGCGCGGCCCCCGCCACCTCCCCCTCCTCGCCGGCCGCGCGCTGGTTGAGGAAGCGCAGCACGGTCTCGCCCTCCTCGCCATCGCCCCGGTTCAGCAGCTCCTCGAAGGGCGCCTGGTCGGAGAGCCCCAGGGCGCTCAGCACCCGGTCCTGCATCCACTGCACGCGGACATCGTCCAGGCTCATGGCGGGGCCGAGCCGGGCAGCCGCGGGCAGATGAGCCGCCGACCTCAACGGACGCTACCCGGTGCCCATAGCAACGGCTGGGGGCGGGACTGGCCGCGGCGCGAGCCCTGTGCTTCCCGCAGCCCGCCTCTTTTCCCGCCCACCGCGCGCCTCGTGGGGCCCCCAGGCCCGGGCGGCGAAGGGGCTGAGGGCGAGTGTTGCCCCCCTATCCCTGGTTGCAGCGCCCCCTACCTCCACCTCACCGTCGCCAGCCAGCACCTTCCCTAGGGTGCCCAGAGAGCACGTGTGAAAAATAGGAACAGTGTGGGGGGGGGTAATAGGCGCCTATATGAGAAAAAGCCCCAACTATCACAACTGTCCCTATAAAATCAGGACATCTGGTCACCCTGACCTTCCCCCACTCACCCTCCCACTCCTACCCCACTGCCCCCACCCAGCCCCTGCCCCCACTCACCCTCATTCCCACCCCGCTGCCCCAACCAGCAGCTTCCCCCACACCCCCAAACCACCTCACCTTCCTCTCATTGTACTCGCCCTCCTTTTGCCTTGCCCCCCCTTGGAGGGAAGGTTATCCCATGAGGTTCAGTATAACCCCACCTGACGCTAAGGCCCCATGAATAGTGCCACTCACAAGTGGGTTTCAGAGGGCTAGCTTATGCCCAAATAAATATGTTAGTCTCTAAGGTGCCCTAAGGACTCCTAGTTGTTTTTACTCACGAGTTGGGTTCCCCCCCCCCAAGCTTTGGGCTAGGCACCAGGAACAAGGAAGTTTTTCTTTTTAAGAAGAAACAGGGCTGAAAGGGCAGGAGAAGCAGCAACAGTACCAAGGGGGTGGGGAGAAAGAAGGCAGCAATACTAAAGCTTGTCCCATGCAGCCTGCACCATGCTGGTGTTCCCTGGCTGACCTGGGGCGGGCATGCAGGGGAAGGATGACCCTGTACAGAACCGGCCTTGTTCCCACCAGCCTCTGCAACATTTGTCAGTTGTCGTTTTGTGGGAGTGAGCCACTCCCACTTCTGGATGTGTTTCTGGGCTGGATGTGTGTGCGTCTAAGAACAGGGATAGATCAGACCTGATTATTTTTACTTCTGCTCACTAGAGGCCGCTGCTCCAACAGAGAATAGCAGCATTAGAACCAGCATATTCCCATGCTGTACTTGCTTGGTGCCTTCCAAAGCAAGCAACTGTGCCTGTAGAAGACACAAGATCAGAAGAGAGGCAAGGGGGGTGGAGGAAGGAAAGCAGCAGCAAAGGGAACAGGACAGTTTATCCGAAATCCAAGTTTTTCTCTCACAGACCCAACAGCAGGCAGCCTTATCAGTTAAAGTAGACTGACAGTAGCCCCATTACCTACCACAGCACATCCCAATTTTTTCCCCAGAATCCTCCCTTTGCTTTTTGGAGTCTTTTCACACTTTATTAGTAATGAACACTAATTCCTCAAGAAGGATTTTTCCTTCACTGTTTTACTTGGTTCTCAAAACAACCTGAATTAGTACAAAATGTCAACAAAATTCCACATAAAAATGCTTTCAACGTACTGGTCTTTAACCGTCAAGTAATTTTTGTTTCATAGCACTAAAGTTTGGGGAGGGGGTGTTATTAGTTTTCTAAATTCCAGGTTATGACACTGCAGGTTTAGGAAATCTATTAAAAGAATGAAAATGTAAACTAACAATCAGTTACTAACTCCAGAGTGTATTTTCAGGCCTTAATCCTGCAAAGAGCTCAGCCACTCCTGTAAAAGTAACTGCAGTTTGCAGGACTGGGTCCTGACAGACACCCTGATGCAGCAAGGACTTTAAATATGTGCTTAACTTCAAGCACTGAATAGTCCCATTGAAGTCAAGCAAACTACTCAAACACATATGTAACTTCAAGACTTTAAGTGCCTTGTTGAATCACAGCCAGAATGTTTTCAGATAGGCTGCTCAATGAAAGTCCAGACCCTACAATTCAAGGTAAAGCAAAAATCCTGTGTGGGATTTACCTATGTGATCTTATGTCTCCACTCCAACAATTCTGAATTTAACACAAAAAAAGTAGATCTTTAGTCGAAAAATCTTCTCAATTAAAATAAAATTTAGAGATAGAACATAATGCATATGCAGGCTCTCATTAAGTGAAGCTTTATTCTTAGAAGAGGCCAAGTGGCCTGCTTGGGGTTGCACAAGAAGAAAGAAATGAAAAAACCTAAGATTCAGTAACAAATGTAACTTTTTACAATAGTGGGAACCTCTTAAAATATTGTAAATAAGAAATTGAAATATTACATAGGACAAAATTTTAGTGGTATAGTTTAAGAGCTGCAGGAGTTCATTTTAAACAATTAAATACAACCAAACACTGCAGAATATTAATTCTGCAAATGGCAATTAGATTTTATTTGGAATCAGTATGAAAGAAAACTGTAAACGTTAACTTATGCTGTTCTTATGGCACAAATGTCAAACTATTATGGTAAAATATCCCAATTTTCATTTTGATATAAAAAATGCAAAAGCACGGTCTCCTCCCTTCACATACACCCTTTTAAGTAACATTTCTTAAAATCAGTATAAACAACTTTGGTTCAATAACATCAGATAAACCAGTCACTCCAGTCAAGTTATATCCATAAATGTCTTTAAAGCCAAATATATACAGAATAAATTCAAGGCCTGATTCTGCACTCGTCATAAAAATATAGTTCCCATTAATGGGAACTTTGCATGTGAAAGGTCTGTAGAATGAGCATTTAATACACCATATTCTGCTATACAATTTGAGTCACCTGTTAAAGACATCATTAAGGCCCTGATCCTGCAAAATGGTCTGGATGGGCAATCCCTGCACCCAGCAGAGTTCCACGCAATATAGGAGTCCACCCACACAGACCATTTAGCAAAATTGGGGCATAAGACTATAAACTCCTCAATGAAGGGAGATAAAAAGAACCATCGTTGGGTTTCCCCTACCTGCCCTTAATTTTTCTTTTATCAAATGAAGCTTCAGGATGTGCACTTACAAAGATTAAAGTAATAATTCTGGGCAGAATTCAAGACACAAGATTGTTTTTATAAAAACAAAAAAATAATGTTGGTGTGGTGTTTTAAAAATAGCCCCACAAGAGCATTTTATATTAGTATTTACCGGTTTATACTATTTTTGGTAATCTCCTGGGAATAACTACTGAAAACATACACTGTTTAATCTTAACTGCTTCCAGATTCCATTAGATGGTAAATTAAGTTAATGAGGGGGTGTGATCACATGAGTAATGTACAGTAATCTTGCTGTGTATTTTATATGACGAAACAGAAATTAAGGTCTTTAAGATCATTTAAAAGTATTCATTAAAGAATATAAACAGTCTCTTCTGGAAATAAAATACCTTTCTTATTTTTAGAACAAGCAACAAGATTTTTAGAATTATCTTAAAATTAATTTACATTAGTTTATTATGAAAAAAACATACATTTTATGCCTATATATTTTACAAGAGTCTCCAGATCTGCAATGTATTTGTATGAAGGAGGTATATATTACAGAATTATTTGGCTACATTATAAGGCAATCAGTGAAAAACACATTTTTTCTACAAACTGTACATCAGTGAGATCTAATTACATGATTTGCAGACAACTCTGAACACCTCTGCTTATGCCAATAAAATTATGCAATATCATCTTTATTAAAATGTAAAAAAATGTGCTTAAAGGAAAAAGGAGTAAACTTGTAACCTCCACCGGTGTAGAACTTGTTCTGAAATTCCACCCTGTAATGAGGGGAAAAAAAAAAATCCACACATTAATACACAACTCAGAGAACAAGACTAGGAGCCAGAAATTCATGAGATCTAATTCTGGCTCTAACACTGATGCCTTTAGGCTAGTTACTTAACTCTTCTGCCAGAGTCATTCGTTTTCAAAATATGCATTCTAAATTTTGGGCCTATCCTACCCAACAATGTCTCTTTAATAAACCAACGCACAGGTTGGGGGGGGGGGGGGGAGAAAGGGCAGTTTTTAAAAATTAAAAGTTAGCACTTACCAATGAAGTCGTACAGCATGTAGAAAAGCAGAAAGACCTTCCATGACCAAAAGAATGAATACTGTTAACACAGCAAAGAAGGCTAAAACTGGAACTAACAGCAAGATTCCATATGCTGCATCCACACGAAGGCCCACTCTCATTATCATTGCCCACAGCACTTCTGATAACTCTACAAAACAAATGGTTTCCAAAATTACCTTTGGAAACATACACGTACCCAGTGAGTCTGTTTAACCAGTCTGCACTCCAGTTTCAATTATGTTACTGTGCTAGAATCTCCAGGATCAGAAAATGGAGCAAAAAATGTGCCCCTTTGAAGGAATCCAGTGTATATCACAAGACGCTCAAGGAACTAAACCTTGCACAACAATTAATATTTTTGTAACGGGTGGTAATTTGCATTCACCAGAACACTGAATGAGTAGTCTGTTTACTGTATAATCATATGTAATCAGGGCACAATTATCTGGAGCTGCAGATGCTGTTTTGTTCTCTCAGGAAATAGCTTGTTTATAATTATAAACAGTCTCAGAATAAAATCTACTACTTACGACATCTAATTTATTAAAACCACAAATCCACTAACCAATACTTAATAGTTACTATTGCAAGTGATCCCAAGACACAGACCAGTGTTCACTATATTAAGATTTAAGTACTGAGATACATGTTTTAATTTCACACTGCAAAGCCAGCACACCTTTTCAGACAAGGTTTTTTTTTTTTAAATGTTTAGAAACAATATCACACTCAATAAGATTTTAATAAGCTCACATGCATACAACACATCACTACTTCATCTGTATTAATTCAGTGTAGCATAAAATACCTATATAATTTGGCTGTGAGACACATTCCTGAAATCAGAACAAGAATATAAAATATGAAAAGGTTAGGTGGTTTTTATGATAACTCTCTCATGGTCCCTCAATGAATAATTAAAGGGAAATGGGCAGTGTATTTGGAACATAAATGCCCAGGTTCTAATTTAGAATGACACAAATTCAGAAATATACTTGTCCTGATTCAGGAAAGCATCCCTATTCAGGATAGCTCTTAAGCACATACTTAACTTTAAGCCCATACTTAAGCATGTACTTAAGTCCATCTGTATTCAGGACAATATTTAAGTGCTTTCTCGAATCCTGGCCACTAAAGGGGAAGACTTTAAATATCACATGACATAATATCACCATCTACAGAACCATTTTAAGAGTTACTAGCTGACAGACCTTCACATAATCAGGAGTGAACAATGAAGCCATATACCATATGCAGCACTCCAAGTCACAATTCTACTTTTCAGTAAAATGTGCTTTTTATTAGTCCAGGTCAGTTCACTAGGGTTTTTTTTTTTTTAAATGACCAACCAGATCATTTTAGAATATTCTAGCTATGAAATTATCAAACAAACAACAAACCCCCATACAATATTAAAGTTAGATTGGAATACAAAGACTTACGTGCATGAGCAAGACTTAGTGCCCAGAGTCTCAGGTATGAAGCAGTGTTGGAGATGCATCCTAGACAGTATTCAATGGTATGAATAGTCTGACTCATAAAAACATCTGCAAAGTTAAACTAACAACACATATGTATGTAAATACACTTGTATACATTAAATCCATACTGTGGAGTGTGACAACGTACAACATGCATTTGCAAATCCACTACAGGTTTTAGATCATTAAAAACAAAAAATCTATTTAAAGGTCAAATAAATTTGTATATAATTAAACCAGTGTATAAACTCTAAAAGCTTACATGCTGATTGCACTGATGATAATACAAAATATTAAGGTGTAGTTTTCTAGCAGGTTCTGTACTTGTATGACCAAAGAATATTCTGAAAATGCAAGTAGGCATGTCAATTATTCTGAATGCATCTTATATGAACATATAGTTCTGCCATACTATAATGTGGTCTAATGGAGACCTGAGTTCTAATCCCAGCTAGGCTGTCCATTTACTGTGTTAAGTCTGGGCAAAACACAAACGCTTTCTGCCTCAGCTTTTCCTGTCTCTAAAAGGGGGATAATTATTACTATCAACTGTTGAAAAGCACTCTGAGATCCTCAGATGAAGAGAGCTATAAATGGTAAAGGATAATTATTACATATAGTAATCTTGAGTTATGTTGGCTAGTACTAACACAAACCCAAGATCAGTAATTTTTACTGTAAATCCTGATATTTCTTATGAAACTGTGGTACAATTTGTGCAATGTCTTTCAGTAGAGCTCTCCTATTTCCTAGATATATTAGCCCTACAGAGGTTAAGTCTCAAATCTCCCAGTGAGAAGTTTTATACTAATTTTGCAGATGAGTAAATTGAGGGACAGAGTGTTTAGGAGTGTTAATCAACTCCTATTAAAGTCAAAAGCACGCAGATAACAATGCCTTAAGTGATTTGCCCAAGATTATATTGCATCAGTGTCAGGAACTTGGAGTACAGCTCATGACTCCAGATTTCCAGTTCTCACTAATGACAAGAGCACTGTGCCTTCCCACTGTCAAACTATATAGCATACTATTCAAAAAATTAAAATCAAGAGCCTTTTCTCTAGAGAAGAACCCAAGATGAAAAGAAAAGGAGAAAGTTAGAGTATATTCTCCTCTTTGTCTTGACTAAAGGCACCCAAAATCAAGTACCCATAAAACTATGCAAGAGAGCTTTGATATTGCTTGATTAATCGTACTTTAAAAGGAATTAATGTAGTCTCAGCTGCATGAGGCACTTTGTCTATTTCCCATTATATCAAAACCCAGGAACTCTAATAAGCTGAACTGATACATTTTTGTGATAAGAAATGCAGCGCAGAACAATCACAAATAACAGAATGTAAATTGTATGCAGCCAACCAATCGGGCCATCTTTATAAAAGTCCCCTAGATGGCATTTTTAGAGGTTCCAGGAACTCAACCTGGTTTACTGTATGGCAATTTGCCAAGTATCACCCCATACAATTTTCCACCGCTAACTTGCTTTTAGGCCATTCTTATCACAGGCGGTAGTTGAAAGTGTTACCTCTTCTCCATCCCCTTCTCTGTGCCCACTGTCTAAAGGGCTGCTTCCTTCCTCCACATCATGTGATTGTAATAGAGAAAGTTCTTCTTCACTTTCTTTTCGAACAAGTCTGTAGCCACTCTGCACAAAATGGAAACAGTATCAGTGTCAGTTCACTAACAAGAATTTTTGATGTCTCTGTGATAGTTGCTAGTTTTTTTTGTATTTATTTAAAGCAGACATTGCAAAAAAATTAAGACTCTCAGGGTATGTGTACACTGCAATTAAAAACCCGCAGCTGGCCTGTGCCAGCTGACTCAGGCTCCGAGGCTTGGCCTGTGGAGCAGTTTAATTACAGTATAGACTTCTGAGCTTGGCCTGGAGCCCAGCCTCTGGGACCCTGCAAGGCGGCACTCTGTGAGGTGGGAGGGTCCCAGAGCCCAGGCCGAGCTCAGAAGTCTACATGGCAATTAAACCGCTCCGCAGCCCAAGATCTGCGAGCCTGAGTCAGCTGTCATGGGCCAGCCATGAGTGTCTGTTTGCAGTGGAGACATACCCTTGGGACCATAGAAGCTGAGAAAGCTGAAGTGGAAAGGCCCTATTATGCAAAAATAGACATCAATTTTTCTAATTTGCATGGTCATATCAAGCTATAGGACATTTTAGAGATCAATGCTTCTAGATACTTTCTTAATCTAAGAGAATTATTTCTTTACCCATATTAACAAATTTAAATGTATCTTACATCTAAAGTAGTTAAAAGAATTTTGACAAATGTAATCTGTGAAAATATCTAATTAGTGAGTTTCCCGCTGTGGTTTTAAAACTTTATTGTACACAATTAGTAAAAGTTTTATTCACACATCTATGACCAACGAAGTGTTACAGAAACAGCCAACAAATATAGCAACAAAGTGTTTCCTCTACTGATTTTGCAGCAGCAGCTAAGTGCGGTTCCCAGAGCTGCACTAATATCTGCAGTGTAGCTAGCTCACAAACACTGAAAAGGCCCAATTCTGGAAATACTCACAAATCATGCATGCGAGGGTTTGTAGCATTGAGCCTATAGTTTGGAATGACAAAGTGCTATGCAAATTGAAATTGTTGTGGGTTTGTTAAGTTTGCAATAGAGTATATTAAGCGTTGACACGATAGCAGTTTTCAAATATTTAA